GGCGCGGTGGCTGGCTGGGGGCACCCACCTCTCCGTGGCCACATGGAACGAGCGTTTTGGGGCACGTTAGAGATGATGTTTCTTGAGAAACCCAATGGGAACCATCCAACCCAACGAGAAGTTCTGGTCACCTTGAAGAACCGCGCGTCCCCGAGGACGTTCCATCCTTCTCGCGGTGCCAGGGCAGCGTCGTGCGGCCTTTGGGGGGGGGGGCTTGCAAAGGGGGGGGGGGGGGTCCGACACGTGGATCTCGTTACGGAGGCGGCTTAACGAGGGTTCGTTTCATCCACCGTGGCTCCGGTGGGGAATCCCGCGTGGTCGGGGTCGAAGACCCCTCAAACCACCGCGATGATTGAATTTCCAAGAATTCTTGACTTCTACCTGGCTGAGGGTTGGGTTTTCTTCTTTCCTTCCCAGCCGTGGGGATTCAAAATTCCCTTTTTTTTGGTTCGAAATAAGCCCAAAATCATCCCGCGCTTATTTGTTGCGTCTTTACGCAAGATGATTCAATACCAGTTGGGTCTCGATGGTCGACCAAGAGGATGATCCACGCGTCGCCTCTTGGCTCCGACGCACGTGCCGACGGCGTTTTGCTGGATTTTCTTCCGCTTTTAACCCGATGAGGGTGGGAAAAACCCTTTTTTTGGTTGGAGCGACCATAGAACGCCGCCTCGTGATGCATTTTTTTTCTCCGAAAGACGCGACTGGCAGCACAACGCACGCCCCGTGAGTATTGCGTTGCTCCGTTCGGGCTTTTCTCATTTTGGTTTTTTCGCTTTGACGGGGTTTTGCTGCTTCTTTTCAGCACTAAATCCTCTTCCAGCTCCAAAATTGCCTTGAAACTCGCTGGAACAGCCAACATCCTCCTGAAAAAACCACTTCCAGCAAAGGAAAATGTGACGGTAAATATAATTTTTTTTTTTTCTCCTCTCTGTGGTCACGTAGGACTGGGCTCAAAAATTCAATTTGAGGGTGGAAAAATTTGGGTTAGTTCTAGGTCATCTTTGGTAGGGCTAAAATTTAATTTTAAAAAGGAATTTTTCACTTTTTTTTTGGGGGGGGGGTTCCGTTCAAAATCAGAGCCCCAAAAAATCCATCGGTGCCCAACGATGGACCATTGGAGGGGCTGAAGAACGCAACCGTTGACTTTCACGGCCAACGCGGGCGGTCTTGGATCTTCCCACCCCCTCTCCCAAGCCCAGCCTAAACTTTGAGCCAAGCATTGAGCTTTGTAACGATGAGCTTGGCTACAAAAATCCCATTGATTCATTTTTTTCCCCCCCTTTTTTTTTGCCGTAGCAACTGGAAGAATGAAGCTAAAACAAAAAAATTGAGATAATTTTACCAGCAAAACCTTCCGGACTTGGTGTTTCTCCTCTTCTCGCTTCCCAAAGGTAAACGTGATAAAATATTTTTAAGAAATTAGGGAAAAAGATGCCCAGCCCGTATTTTTATCCCATGATATAATCTGGCATCGTCGTCTCAAATGATTTTTTTATTTCTCCTCCCTGCAAAACAATCCTAAATAAATTGAGATAATTTTACCAGCAAAACCTTCCGGACTTGGTGTTTCTCCTCTTCTCGCTTCCCAAAGGTAAACGTGATAAAATATTTTTAAGAAATTAGGGAAAAAGATGCCCAGCCCGTATTTTTATCCCATGATATAATCTGGCATCGTCGTCTCAAATGATTTTTTTATTTCTCCTCCCTGCAAAACAATCCTAAATTTTTTAATTTTTTTTTTTTAAACGTCTCTTTTCTCATTTCAGCCAGAAATCGCCGTTGTTTCCACGGAGAAACTCTCGCCAGAACGAAGCCGGCGTGAGATCGACGATAAATGATATCCAAACCCATGTGAAAAGATTTTTTGTAACGAAAAATAAAGAATATTCCCCGATTTATCCCGTCTGAACAGTTCATTTGTTCACAGCGTTCCCTCCTCCGATGGGGGGGGAAAAAAAAAAAAAGTTGAATTCCCAAAACTGGATGAAATAAAAGAGAAACAGTCGCCCAGAGGATGTAGGGTTGGACAACCCCAACGTCTTGGGGAGGAAGAGGGCGGATGAGAGCCTCACTCAAGATTTTTGCATTTTTTTGGGTTTTTTTCCCCCCGTTGCAGCTTCAAGAGGCGACCGCGGGCGTGCGACGAGGACGTGGCGCAGATCGGGCCCAAGAGGATCAGGTAGGAGCTGGTGGAAGGAGAAGGTCCCTCGGGAAGACGAGAAGGTTCGACTCAACCCTTCGGTGGTGGGACAAGCTCCAATCGGAACCTCCGGAAGGGTTTTATTTCTTAAATTAACCTTTCGTTGGGTGGTTTGAAGAGGAAAAATGGGCGTGGAGGACCTGGTGGGACGCCAAATCCCACCACCGTGACTTTTTTCGGTTCTTCTCCAAGCTCATCCTCACCAATTTTGGGTTTTTTTCCCATCTTTTCTTCTCGGCAGGAAGGC